CTTACTGAATCAATACCAATCAGGATTTCGACCTGGACATAGCACCACAACGGCGCTTTTAAAAATAACTGAGAATGTGCGTGATGGCATGGAGTTTGGAAAGTTGACGGTGTTAGTTTTAATAGATTTTTCTGACGCCTTTAATACCGTTGAGCATGATATTCTCATCACCATCTTGTCTTACATAGGTTTTTCCTTGTCAGCACTGAATTGGGTCTCCTCCTATCTTCGTGGTCGCCAGCAGGCGATTCGGGTCGATGGTATGGTGTCCGATTGGGATAAATTAACCACTGGTGTTCCGCAAGGTGAAATTCTCTCTCCTTTACTTTTTTTATATTTATTAACATGATTACTTGTAATTTTCGTGCTTCCTACCATATGTATGCCGACGACTTGCAACTCTATGCTCATGCCGATTCTACTTCCATAAATAATGCTGTAACTGTGATTAACTCCGATCTTAACTGGATTCTTAATTGAATAAAATTATTATTTACGGATTTTATCGCGTTTAATTACTTTAATTTATTTTTATTATTATCCCGACGTTTCGGGTGCTTTACAGCGCCTATGGTCACGGGAGGGACTGAGATGTTTGACGTCCCAATGTCATAGTTAGTCCGGCTACCTTCAGTTTTTTAATATTAATTTTTGGTCCGATTTACGCAAAACGAGCTTATAGTATCATGAAGTCTTGCAGTGGTATGCTTGGGTTTGGGTTTAATTTTGTTAATTATAGGATCCCAAGCAGATGGTAGCACCCAACCATCTTCTCTATTGAAATTTGGATGTTTTTTAATTTAAATAGCCTCGCGTATCATCCTTGGTAGGAATCGGTGTTCTTTTGCGAAAATTTGTGGTTTATCAAATCTAATGTAATGGTGGGGACGATCTTGAACATGTTCGCAGACTGCAGACTTCCCGGAGCGTCGGTGCTTCACATCAGCTATATGTTCCTTCACGCGGGTTTTTATAGATCTCTTTGTTTGACCTATGTAAGAGAGACCACATTCACAATCTAGCTTGTACACACCTGCATCTTGTAGAGGAATATTACATTTGATGGATGGTAAAAATTGACTAATCTTCTTCAGCGGCTTGTAGTATGTCTTAATGGACGCTCGCTTCAAGATGTAGCCAATCTTGTCTGTGACTCCTCTAACATATGGTAGTAGAGCAGGCGCGCGCTCGACTGTGGCCGGCTTCACTCGTTCACTGTGACGTAGGCGCGGGACCCGAAGCCTGTTGTCTTGCAATACTTGCTTGACGTGCTGAAGCTCCGCAGCCAGATGTTTTCTGTCACAGATCCCTCGTGCTCTCTGAAACAAAGATTTACCCACGGTAGCTAACTGTGAAGGATGATGGTGAGATTCACCATTTAAATATCGGCGACACTTTCACAATTTTACCATCTGACAAAGTAACTGCATTTTTAGACCACCTTAACTCCATAAACTCTAAAATACAATTCACAATGGAGTTAGAGGCAAATAATTCTTTAGCTTTCCTAGATGTTTTAGTCATCAGAAATCCTGATAACACTATTGGTCACACTGTGTATAGGAAAAAGACCCATACCAACCGATATTTAAATGGTGAATCTCACCATCATCCTTCACAGTTAGCTACCGTGGGTAAATCTTTGTTTCAGAGAGCACGAGGGATCTGTGACAGAAAACATCTGGCCGCGGAGCTTCAGCACGTCAAGCAAGTATTGCAAGACAACAAGCTTCGGGTCCCCGCGCCTACGTCACAGTGAACGAGTGAAGCCGGCCACAGTCGAGCGCGCGCCTGCTCTACTACCATATGTTAGAGGAGTCACAGACAAGATTGGCTACATCTTGAAGCGAGCGTCCATTAAGACATACTACAAGCCGCTGAAGAAGATTAGTCAATTTTTACCATCCATCAAATGTAATATTCCTCTACAAGATGCAGGTGTGTACAAGCTAGATTGTGAATGTGGTCTCTCTTACATAGGTCAAACAAAGAGATCTATAAAAACCCGCGTGAAGGAACATATAGCTGATGTGAAGCACCGACGCTCCGGGAAGTCTGCAGTCTGCGAACATGTTCAAGATCGTCCCCACCATTACATTAGATTTGATAAACCACAAATTCTCGCAAAAGAACACCGATTCCTACCAAGGATGATACGCGAGGCTATTGAAATTAAAAAACATCCAAATTTCAATAGAGAAGATGGTTGGGTGCTACCATCTGCTTGGGATCCTATAATTAACAAAATTAAACCCAAACCCAAGCATACCACTGCAAGACTTCATGATACTATAAGCTCGTTTTGCGTAAATCGGACCAAAAATTAATATTAAAAAACTGAAGGTAGCCGGACTAACTATGACATTGGGACGTCAAACATCTCAGTCCCCCCCGTGACCATGGGCGCTGTAAAGCACCCGAAACGTCGGGATAATAATAAAAATAAATTAAAGTAATTAAACGCGATAAAATCCGTAAATAATAGTTTTATTCAATGTGTAGTGTTCGCGTAAATTTAAGAAATCATTATGGATTCTTAATTGGTCAAGAAGGTATGGGGTCGCTGTTAATCCAAGTAAATGCCAAGCTATAGTCTTAGGCAGTGCACGTCAATTTGGTAAACTTAATCATACATCGTTCGATCCTCTGATCTATAATGGCGAGGTAATTCCTTACAGCTCTCATGTTAGGGACTTGGGATTAACCTTGAATTGTTCACTTACTTGGCGCAGTCATGTTGAGGAAGTTAGCCGTAAAGTTTGTACTACTTTGAGACAATTGTACAGATATAAAAATATCTTACCGCCTTGTACGAAAAAAATTCTAATTCAATCGCTAATTCTTCCTATGTTTGATTATGCTGATGTGTGTTACTTAGATGCAGACAAATACTTGGTCAATAAATTGGATCGGCTTCTCAACAACTGTATCCGTTTCATTTACGGTCTTCGAAAGTATGACCACATCTCTTTCTATCGCTCTCAACTTAAATGGTTAATTATCCCACAACGCAGGAGCCTTAGAATTCTCAGCACTCTGTTCACTATTCTTAACGATCCATTGGCCCCAGAGTATTTGAAATGTAAGTTTCAATACCTGGGTTCTTCCCATGATTGCAATCTTCGCTCTCGTAACAATCTCGTGCTCTATACTCCCTCTCACCGTACTGGTTTCCTCTCAAACTCTTTCGCTGTTAGACTCTGGAATGCGCTTCCCCTAGCAATAAAAAAATCCCCCAACAAATAGATTTTTAAAACAGAGGTAAAGGAATATTATTTGGGTTCATCTGACACAAAAATATATAAATAATCTATAATATTTAATCTATTAGATCCTTATATATATTTAATTAAGTTTGAGCTATGAGTATGTATGTGTGTGGTGTGTGTGTGGAGGGGGGTGAAGGTGTATGTGAAATTTATCAATTTTTGGTTTCATTCTAGCCCACTGCAGTACACGCATCTCCCACTAACTTTCCGGTTGGCTGGTAGAAAATGCCATATGGCATTAAGTCCGCCGTTTGTACCTTTAGTACAATAAAGTGTAAAATAAAATAAATAAAATAAATAAACGTCGGCAAGCAGTCAACATTAAAAGAGTGAAACTTCTATACGTAGTACTATTATTTATTCTATGCTACCGCTAAGTGCGTGCGTCCTCGCGGTAAGCACTTTGATCATATCCACAGATCGTTAAACTGTTACGAAATTTCCCACTTTTATTTTATAAGTTTAGTTATCCCTACGACTAGTCTCCATACGGAATTTTGAGGTTATAGTTGTCATTTTTAATAAAATTATACAATCAATTGTCCCTGATGTAAAAATCAGTTCGTTACTACAAAAATTATATTGAAACTAATAAACATATCTAATTGGATAGTCACACAATTATCAACACTATTTTATCAATATCTTTAATTTTGTACAAGAATATAGAAATTGAATGATACGGAATAATTTAATAGTTAAAATCGACAGTTAACTAATCTATCAGAATTCAAAAATAATTTAGATTGTAAAAAATAATTCTTTTACTTTATTTCAATTGATTTTCCGTTTTTAATCCATCCAATACTTTGAATTTAAAAAGAGGTACGTAAAAACTATTAAAAATAACATCGGAGTTTTATTAAGATAGCCGCCTCTAATTCTTACGTCGACTGCAAATCTTAATAGGTAAACGTTGCAAACACCAATTTGTCAAATTCCCCGAAATTTCATGTCAAATTCCCCAATGTGGACACAAAACTTCAACAGATTCGCCACAAATTCTCCTCAATTAAGTTTTATCATTTTATAAGAATTATTTTATTTCACTAAATTTTTTTTCACATTCCATATTTTTGTAACAAAAAATTTACTTCATGGAGAATTTTGAATTCCTTCCCTTGTTGGCATTAAAAAGTATCACAATATCTGCATTTAAATCCATACGGTTCTTTGCTTTAAAATTAAAAAAAAAATAAAGAAATGAAAAACATTAAATGGTACACAAAATTAGCCGAAATAAATACGAAAATTAAATGTCGTGTAACGAAGATAATTCAAAAAAGGGAGTCATTCGATATTAATGTTGTACAGTAATATCTTAATGCATTGTTTCGTATCGAGCTAGATAAAACAGTTTGGCAGTATTGACTCTATTGTCAGCTGATCTTATTTTAAGTTCCATTGTTGGTTTTAATATGTAGTTAAGTAGTTAGTTAAAGTAGTAGTTCAGTCGGTAGTAAGTAGTTTAAGTTAAGTTACGTATTTTCATGGTTTTTTATATTAAATTATCATTTTATTTAGCTGTACCAATACGATGGAGCGTGAATAAAGCAAATAAAAACTTGTGAAAAGATGATTTTTTTTCATCGGGATCGATTTTCTTTCTGACGCATCATCAAAGTATCGTTAGTACTCTCAGATGGTATAAAAATTAAATTACTTTAAATATTAATTTATTAAATGTTATCTGTGTTTTGTGTTACTAAATAATAGTAAATTGAAACTTACTTCAGGTAATTGCTTAGGATTTGCAACATGATATCCACCAACCTCTATCACATTCTGGGGGAAGATATTTGAGCCGACATGAACAAAATTAGTGTACAGTAGTTGAAATTTGATGTTATGACCCAGTTCTTCTAAAGGAGGAATATCATCAAAATACTGTGCAAGCGTGCTTTGATCTACCCTTTGACCGAGATACTTATAAATTAACCTTAGATATGTATCGATTATAAAACTTTCTACTTTCTGATATAGAGTTGGCTTAGTTCCACCATTCGAATACATAAACGATACGTATGAAGGATTGAAAGGAACACCAAATCTGCTGAAATGCCATGGCATCAAAGAATGGGTAGTGAGACCTACTACTGGAGCATTTAATATGTGCGCTAATCCTAGAGAACAGTCACTGTTAAATTGCTCTGTAACCACTACATCAAATTTTGACTTCGTCTTCCATAAATTTTGTACATTTTTGTCTTCCAGCAAAGTTTTACAATCCTTCGTTCCGAACTGTACGAGGGAGGAAGTAACTTTTAAAATAGTTAAAAACGAATTTTCTTCAGGGAATACACCTTCGAAAACCGTTAACTTTTCCGCCAGACTTATGTCATGATAATTTTTTATAGGTTGATTTTGTGGAAAATATGATATTACTGTAATATTATGTCCTTTTTTTGCTAACGCCTTTAAATAAGTTTCAAACACAAAGAAGTGACTTTTTCCTTGGAATGGAAACACTCCTAACACATTCAGTGAATACACTTGATTTATTTGAATTAATGTAGTTAATACTAAAACACAATATAAACGTAAGATCACTTTCATTTTAACAGTTTTTAGATTCTTTTTATTACAATAAATCAAAGACGTCTGGCGCGGTTACGTCTCCAATTTGATTTGCATTTACCAGAAATAAATGATTAGATAGACAACGATAAGGCTATTGATGTATAATAAACAGTAAAGTAAATATTTTGTTGCAAATTTATATTGCATATAAAATAAATTACTTCCTTTGACCTTAAAAACAGTAATCTAGCGAAGTTAAAGTTGTATAATGATATACGTTGTGATAAAAGGTGTAAGAGGTCAATTAAAATACTGTATTACTAATTCCCAAATACTCAAATGCTGCCAAATTTTAAAATGCCGTTTAGTCTTGTGCGGATTTTAAGTGACTGTGAAACCACGAGAATTAACGACATTTTACAATTGAGTATTTGACCTCCAGTAAGGCAATTAGGGAGGCCTTGACCGTTGGTTCCCCGACAATTACTGTAATTTTTACCAGTATTTGTTTTTTTATCTAGTTTACATTGTCGTCGTTACATATATCCTCTATATGATTGCATTTTATAAAATCTTCTTTTATTGATATTGTATTGCGGAAAGAACCGAGTTACTTCAGTTTTGCAAATAATATAATTATTAAGTATGAACTGAAATACTGTGTTCAATTGTGTGAAAATAAAGGAGACAATCATTTTTGGGCTTACGAGAAATTTTAACGATCCTCGATAATATTATATAAAAAAAGATACCAATTTATTAATATAAATAGTCTAAAGATTTTTTTTAAATCTAAAGGGAATCAATAAATGTAAAGAAAAAAAGAGTTGTTTTGATATTGGTGTTCAGGTCATTGGTTCTGGTAATTTAAAAAAATAATTGTTTTAGAGATGTGCAAACTCGGAAGAAAATCGAAATGAGTTAACTCGAGTTGAAAATCGGGTAACTCGAACTCGAGTTACGCAATTCTTATTTATTTGTAGTATTTACATGTCCTTTTTCATGTTTGTAGTATTTTAAAATCTATTAACTCCTTTTTACATATCTTACAAATGATACGATCATTTTTTTTTTCAAAATAAAGCCATACCGACGATTTTTGTTTTGTTGTTTTATTGTTATCACTCATACTTCAAACAAATATGTAATATGTCAATCACTTTTTATGTTATGCACTACTTATACAAAGTTACAAAAAATAATCAGCAATGATAGTACAACCACGATATTATAAGTCAAACTAAGTTCACCTCTGTTTACATTTTACAACATGCCAGATGCAAGTTTCAATTTAAAAATTTTTGCCCGCGGCGACTTATACTACAAGTAAATTAGTGAAGTGACATCTATATAGCGCACTCCAAATCTATAAAGTGCACCGAGTTGACTCGGTAACTCAGTAAAATTTATTTCCACTCAATTACCGAGTTGGACAAATCCACTCGATTCACTCGAGTGAAAGAAAACAGGAGATCTGTGGTTATTTATTTTACTTTTTGATGGTAGCAAAATTAAAATTTATTTTTTTTTTAACAATAAATATCTTCTCATCAATGGATAAGTGTTTAAGAGAATATGGATATTATCATACAGATTGGCCAAATATTAATATTCCACATTACGAAAGTAGTTCTGTTTTTATTTATTTTTGTGGTAAAATTCGCCAATATAACTGACGAGTTTTTGTTAAGTATGTATGTAATACAAGAGTTTACTATTCTACCTAGAACTTGTAAAATTCTATTATTAAGTATGTTGAATTACCTAAAACAAAAATGACAAACTGGTCTTAAAACCTAATTAGAATGTTGAGAGTAACAAAGTATTAAGTTTATACTAAAATTTAAATTAAATGACAGAATAAACACACAAAACATTGAAGTAATATGTACTTACGTACTAGAACAGCAATTTCAAACAAAAAATGTGCGCTACTCTGTGTTCGCGCGGTTGTTTTTTTATCATAGAATGAACATAGGTAGAATGATCAGTAGTTAATAATAGACTGTACTGTTAAATAGGTAAATTATACCGAGAACAATTTTTTAAATTTTGTCATTTATTTTGTATATTATATTTGCTTATTTAAAATAATTTTATATATTAAATAAGCAAATATAATATATGTCTAGAACATGTAAATGAAATTGTATACTTGGGGAGTGCTTTCAGCCGGGGTGGAAGATGTGATTTAGATGTGGACAGGCGTGTCGTTGCCGGGAACAAAGTCAATGGTGCCCTGAATGCGTTAGTCAAAAGGCAAGTCGTAGTGAAGAATGCACGCCTTGCAGTGTTGGTGCCGATTTTGTTATATGGCAGCGAAACCTGGGTATGCCAGAAAAAGCATAAAAGCAAGTTGAATGCAGGTGAGATGCGATCTCTTCGTAAAATGTGCGGCGTTACCATAGCCAACCGAAAGCGAAACGAAGAGATTCGCAATATAGCAGGATTGAAAGATGACCTTACCACAAAAATTGATAGGGGCGTACTCCGATGGTTTGGGCACGTTGAGCGAATGACATAAATATAAACACTCACGCCTGTCACCCAGAGGGGTAGGCAGAGACTACAGACTTCCATTTGGCACGATCCTGACACACCTCTCTCGCCTCCTTCACATCCATACACCTCCGCATACATGCTCGTCGGTTAAGGGTACTCCTAATTTGGCCCGTTTTCAATAAATCGCCAATTTGGTCGATAAATTTTCGCCTAGGACGTCCCTTTCCGACTCTGCCATTCACTTCTGCAACATAAATTTTCTTTGTCACTCTTTCCTCATTCATTCTTTCCACATGACCAAACCACCGAAGCATTCCTTTCTTAATCCTGGTCACAACATCATCTTGCAAACCACACTCTTCTCTTATTACACAATTTCTTACCCTGTCATTAAGATTCAGCCCTAACATACTCCTTAACGACCGCATTTCTACTGCGTTCATTCTACTCTCGTGCTTCTTCTGCCACACCCAACTTTCACTACCATATGTTAAAGTAGGGACCAACACAGCATTGTGAATTGCCATACGTGCCTTTTTCGACACATTTTGACTCTTCACAATAGAGTGCAGGGCCCCATTTACTCTATTTCCCGCATTCACTCGTCGTTCTATATCCTTATCATATCTCCCATCCCTGCTAAATACGCAGCCCAAATATACAAACTCATCTACTTGCTCGATCAACTCCCCTTCTATTCTTATTTCACAAATCGTTTTACTTTCTTCTCTTTCAAAAACCATAACCTTCGTCTTACTTGCGTTCACTTTCATACCCCTTTCTTTTAATGATCTGTTCATTAATGTAACCATCATTTGCAACTCGGCCGCCGACGACGCAAGTATAACTTGATCATCGGCGTACAAAAGGCATTTGACGGTTAACTCACCCATTCTTAATCCGCATTCTTCAACTTTCAAATTTTGCAAACAACTGTCCATAAATAGGTTGAACAGCCACGGGGAAGCTACACAGCCCTGTCTGACACCTTTATGGATGTCAAACCAGTCCGAGTAGACCCCGTTGATCCTAACACAAGCACTAGATTCCCTATAAAGGGACTCCAATGCCAGTATCAAGCCAGCGCTCAACCCAAATGAGTTCAGTGTTTGCCATAGCACATCCCTATTCACTCTGTCATAGGCCTTTTCCAAGTCCATGAACGCACAAAAAAACCTTTTGGTTTTTGGCCAAAAACTTCTCCGCGATCATGCGCATGGAAAAGACTTGATCTGTACATCCCATTCCCTTTCTAAATCCTGCTTGCACATCCCAAATTTTTCCATCAGTTTCTTTCATGACCCTTTCAATCAGTACCTTAGCATACAGTTTTCCCACAATGCTAAGAAGGCTGATGCCACGGTAGTTTTTACAGTCCTGCTGCGACCCTTTTCCCTTATATACTGGGACTATCACGGCTTTGCACCAGTCTACCGGTACCCGCTTCAGTTCCCAGCATAAATTAAACAAGGTGTGCAGCAGGCCTGCCACCACTTCCTCTCCAGCCCTTAGCATTTCGAGTGAAACTCTATCATATCCGGCAGCCTTACCTGCTTTCATGCTTTTCATTGCTTTCATTATTTCACCTACACTAATCTCGCTACCTCTTTCCTCTTCTTTCGGAATTTCTACTTCACTTAGTACACACGTTGTCTCCTCACTCATAAACACACTTTCAAAATATTCCTTCCATCTCTTTAAACTCAAAACTTCATCATTCAGAATATAGCCATTCTCGTCTCTTATAGCATTCATCATAGGCTGTTTTGAATGTCCCCTGGCAGTTCTTACAAGTTTCCAGAACATTTTAATATTTGCCTGGAAATTATCCGATATTCTTCTATCATTCTTATCCGTTCTTTCTTGCTTTTTTCTTTCAACTACTTCTTTTACTCTCTTATTAAGATGTCTAAAGACTGCCTTTTTTCTTTCAATATCATCATTCGTACCGCTAGAATTACCAGCCTTTGTTGCTAGTAAATCTAGCCATGCTCTCTTCTTTGCTTCAACTTCCATACGTACCTCATCATCCCACCATAACGTATTATTTTTCCTTTCATTCTTTCTCTTACTAACACCACATACTTCGGTAGCTGCATCCACCAAACCTTTCTTTACATTTTGCCATACATTCTCCAAGTCTAACTCCTTCATACATAATTCATCCAAACCACTTATATTTTCTTTCAGTCTACATTTGAACTTCTTTTTCTCACCTTCATCTTGTAACCTTTCTGTTCTAATACGCTGTAACGCAGTGGTAGACACAGATGACCGATGGCGCCAACGCCTGAATAGACCATTAATTCGGCATAGAACCAAATAATGATCCGTTCCTACGTTATAACCCCGGTAAACCCTTGTATCTACAACTGCGCCCCTCAATCTTTCATCCACAATTATTAAATCTATCATGCTTCTATCGTCACCTCTTTCCCAAGTATACATGTGAATCCTCTTGTGGCGAAAGCAAGTGTTCGTCACAAAAAGATTCTTTTCCATACATACGGTGAGGAGACTTTCACCATTCTCATTTATACTTTCATCACCAAACGTTCCCAATATCCTTTCATAACCAAGCCTCCTCACCCCAACCCTTCCATTAAAATCTCCTAGCATAATAATATTTTCTTCATTATATATATAATAATAAAATATATAGCGCGAAATTAAATATTAAAAGGTGTCGCGGTAGACCTAGACTAACTTTCGAAGACCATGTGAGCAAATTACTCGAAGAGGGGAAGGTCAAGAGTACTAGGATACCTAGACGTGCATGTATGAAGAAGTTAATGAACCTGAAAGAAGGGAAAGAGGTATGTAAGGATCGTGACACTTGGCGATCTGTTCTCTCTGGCTACCCCGTTAGGGATTGTGCGTAAAGATAAGTAAGTAAGTAAGTAATATGATTTTACAAAATATTATATCACAACTACATTTTAATGATATTTTTAGCTCAATAATTTAAAAGGTATCTCAAATATAAAAAAATACTAAATGTATGTTTAACAAAACTTGTTATTATAACATTTAAATTACAAATATATTTATTTAAATTAGAATAAGAGTCGTTCATAAATACTGGGCACGCGAGAGTTAAAAATTGACGAATTTATTCCACTTTGACTTTGATGTGGAAACCTAAAAATAAAATATAAGAATAATTAGCAGATTTAAATTTAAAAAATTTGGCCTAATTATAATAACTCATATACGTTTCTACAAAAAAATGTGTATAATAATATATTTGTCCTACACTTAAGTACCCACAGAAATGTCGCATCTGAACAAATTAATTTCATAATCTATATTACGTGACAAGAGATGGCGTCTTAAGAATAATTTGTTTTATTACTATAATAATAATACTTTTTTATTGATTAAGTATCTTATTAACCAAAGAAAAGTAATTGCTTGGTGTTTACTGACATTTCTTGAATTTTTTGTGCAATATCTAAGTACACACGACGGCATATTTTTATCACGAGATTTTTTTAAATCAAAAACAACACGTGACAACTCTACAAGCGCCTAGTTAGTGACTGATTAAAGTGCGGTGTATGCACCGCAGTTGAGTGGAACATAGTAGCTGAATGCAGTGTCGCCTCTAGTAAATAGTACATAATAGCTCAATGAAACAAAAGAAGTTTTCAAAAATTTGAATCATAGATGCAGCTTCATCGACTATGAAGAGTGAATCATTTAACTGCATTTATGTTGAAATAGGTACTTAAGTATTCACCAAGTTGCTTAACACTAAATGGCTTATTTGGTAAGCATGACATGTATCCTGGATTTATACCAGCCATAGTAGATAGAGATAGATAGAGAAAATGTAGTACCTAACTAATTGTATTAGAAGCAAATATAAAGCTTGAATCATAATATATCATAATATATAAGCACACCTTGTTTAATGTATGCTGGGAACTGAAGCGGGTACCGGGAGACTGGTGCAAAGCCGTGATAGTCCCAGTATATAAGGGAAAAGGGTCGCAGCAGGACTGTAAAAACTACCGCGGTATCAGCCTTCTTAGCATCGTGGGAAAATTGTATGCCAAGGTACTAATTGAAAGGGTCATGAAAGAAACCGATGGAAAAATTTGGGATGTGCAAGCGGGATTTAGAAAGGGAATGGGATGTACAGATCAAGTCTTCTCCATGCGCATGATCGCGGAGAAGTTTTTGGCCAAAAACCAAAAGGTTTTTTGTGCGTTCATGGACTTGGAGCAGGCCTATGACAGAGTGGATAGGAATGTGCTATGGCAAACACTGAACTCATTTGGGTTGAGCGCTGGCTTGATACAGGCATTGGAATCTCTTTATAGGGACTCTAGTGCTTGTGTTAGGATCAACGGGGTCTACTCCGACTGGTTTGGCATCCATAAAGGTGTCAGACAGGGCTGTGTGGCTTCCCCGTGGTTGTTCAACCTATTTATGGACAGTTGTTTGCAAAATTTGAAAGTTGAAGAATGCGGATTAAGAATGGGTGAGTTAACCATCAAATGCCTTTTGTACGCCGATGATCAAGTTATTCTTGCGTCGTCAGCGGCTGAGTTGCAAATGATGGTTACATTAATGAACAGATCATTAAAAGAAAGGGGTATGAAAGTGAACGCAAGTAAGACGAAAATTATGGTTTTTGAAAGAGATGAAAGTAAAACGATATGTGAAATAAGAATAGAAGGGGAGTTGATCGAGCAAGTAGATGAGTTTGTATATTTGGGTTGCGTATTTAGCAGTGATGGGAGATATGATAAGGATATAGAACGACGAGTGAACGCAGGAAACAGAGTAAATGGGGCCCTGCACTCTATTGTGAAGAGTCAAAATGTGTCAAAAAAGGCACGTATGGCAATTCACAATGCTGTGTTGGTCCCTACTTTAACGTATGGTAGTGAAAGTTGGGTGTGGCAGAAGAAGCACGAGAGTAGAATAAATGCAGTAGAAATGCGGTCGTTAAGGAGCATGTTAGGGCTGAATCAGAACGAGAGCGTGAAAAATTGTGTGATAAGATAAAAGTGTGGTTTGCAAGATGATGTTGTGACCAGGATTAAGAAAGGAATGCTTCGGTGGTTTGGTCATGTGGAAAGAATGGATGAGGAAAGAGTGACAAAGAATATTTATGTTGCAGAAGTGAATGGCAGAGTCGGAAAGGGACGTCCTAGGCGAAAATTTATCGACCAAATTGGCGATTTATTGAAAACGGGCCAAATTAGGAGTACCCTTAACCGACGAGCATGCATGCGTAGATGTATGGATGTGAAGGAGGCGAGAGAGGTGTGTCAGGATCGTGCCAAATGGAAGTCTGTAGTCTCTGCCTACCCCTCTGGGTGACAGGCGTGAGTGTTTATGTTATGTTATGTTATATAAGTTTGCATAAAAATATGGTGTTATGGTTATATCGTTGATGTTTTCGGACCTTACCCTGTGATAGAATCAGATGCTTCTATTATGCTTAGACTTCTGTGTTGTTAACTCTGCAGAAAGGAATATTATTAAAAATGTGATTTTTATAATAAGAGTTATTTAAAAAAAATCATAAATGGACATGTGTTTTTTTTCTACTGTTTAAATGTGAATTTAAATCATAAATATAATTCAATACATACATAAGCAAATTCCACACAAGCTGTTTTGATTTAAATAAATATAGAAAAAATAATATTTTGATAAGAATTATTATTTAGTTAAGACACTTTTACAATATTCATTAACTTCTTTTCAGGTGGATCGCTTAGAACAAATCTGTATGCCTTGTTGGCCGAAAGCTTACAGAGTTGCCCATAGGCAGAGACAAAAAGTGTATGGATACTGAAGACACAGTCTTATATCATACTTCCTATCATTGAAAATTCTCTTCTAATACCTAACAATATCATAACCATAAATGCACATGTTACTATAAAGTTATTTTGAAAAATTCTTTTGAAATGATGATGATATAAAATCCTAGATAGATTTTATATCATCATCATTTCATTCATTCATATAAAACACAAAAATGTTCTTAACTATTGTGACGGACCATCATTATTATTAATAATTAATAATCAATTTCTATATAAGGGTTCATCAAAAAATAGTCTTAAAAATATATATTAAACAATAAAATTACATTAATAAGCATAAAGTTAAAAATAAATACATTTCAGACATTAACTATTATAGTAAATTTAAGGCAAAATAAATTTATTAAAAAAATTGTAAAAATATTTAAAATATGATAAATAATAGAAATACAAGTCGAAAATATTATAAAAATAAAGATAAATAACATTTATAAGATAGAATAATATATATAAATTAGAAAATTGGTTGAAAATTGTCTAAGTCATGGAAAAAGTTCGTGTATAAAAGAAAATGTTCCTAAGTTATTGAGGGTGTTCATGTATAGATGGCTTGTATGGAGGAGCTGCCGGAGACGCATACCTGCAGTTGTACATATATATGGGGTGGTCGAGAGCACGACTGCTTAAAGTACTGTAGCACAGTGACTAGTCCTATATTAGGGATTTATGATAGTAAGTTCTATTATATTAAAGCATTATTATAGAAGGTCTCCATGATGCATAAGCATTATGATACTAGAGTTATGGATTGACATAAAACACTCACGCCTGTCACCCAGAGGGGTAGGCAGAGACTCAGCACCAAAAAGTAGTGAGTCCATCTCGCAAAGGTCCCGGCTGGCTTCCAAATAGGTCGCCAGAATTGGGTTAAGAGCTCGCACGATTTCGCTTGCTTGGGGGTATGCGGGGAAGTCGCGATCGATTTTCTAGAGGTGTACTGCGCGTTTCCAGCATCGACTCTTCCAATATGCTCCTCATTTTCACTAGTTCGGTAGTGGGAGACTATTCCATCACCGTCTGAATCAACCACAACTGGAATATCCACGGCAGCATCGACATATGCAGTTTGATGCGCAATTAGTGGCGCCGCATTCCCGGCCATAGCATTTCCATCCGATGAGGGAACAGCCTCACGTCGTAGTCGTTCGAGTTCGGCGTCACCAAATATGTTGGAGCGCAGGATGTACCGAACTCGGTCTACCAGGTTTTGCTCAGTGACGGATAGAGATGGCTCCAGCTCTGCAAAAAAGCGATGCATCCGAGCCCGATACGCCAATCGTACAGTTTCTTCCCCTTTTGCCCTTAAAGTACGCTCGCAGTGCGTTTGCGTACATTATTTGTGACAAAAGACATTTAAGTAGTAATAGTAATAGACCGGATATCAGCAACAAAATTGTCGTCTGTAGCTTTTGTCCTATAGGATATATCTCCGATTTTTGTCATTTCTTCTTAGTAACATCGTAAAAAGGTCAAAACGCAATCGTTTCGTAAGTTTAAAAATTATTTTTAAAGAAAATATGCCCTGTTGTGCATTAAGATATTGTAAGTCACGATATGAAGCAAAAAATGAACGTGATTATCGTAATTATAATGTAGGTATTCTTACAAAATAATCTTTTAATTTTAATGTATCTAGTTGATTTTTCTAGAACATTTATTATTTTGTCATAAGCGCCCTCTGTTGTCCAGTAGTGTCACTATTTATTTACAAATGTGTTAGTGATTGACGATTGGCGTTATCGATAAAAAATACAGAATACCGTTTTAATCATCTACAATATTTAAGGAGGTGAAACGTCAACGATTCTGTACCCATACTAACAAAGATGAGTAGAATATACCAACTATGCTAAGTAGCTTACTTTATGTGGAGAAAGGGTGGGAAAATGTTTGTTTACGCATGCTGTTGAGATTTTCGGTGTTGCTTGCTGTGCTTTTACACACGGGGCTTCATTGTCTAGTGGTTTTCAAAGACGAAGCCTTATAGATCCTGGCTTACACTGCTATATATAGTAGTTCTATGAACCGGCATTATAATTATGGTTTTTGTATAAGCATGAATCTGGTAATTTTAGATTTCCGTCAGTTAATACCGCAGAGCGTGAAAAGTGGATACGGTTTGTCCAAATAGAGCGCAAAGAAAAAAAATTGGCTTCCATCTGCTATATCAAAATTATGCTTAAAGAACTTTAGAAGTGAAGATATGTACTACGAAAAGACTGGTCGCGCAATTTAAAAAAAAGGATCATTTCCTCGTTTTGCAAGTGAAGTAAGTTGTATGTTATTTATAGCGGTACAGCCAAGCAAAGCTGAACATTTGCCTATTAGTCTTAACCACAGATTTTATTTAATTTTTTCTTGACATCACCTTTTTATAATTTCAGAATAACGAAACAAATGCGGAGGCTACCAGAGTTTACACAATTGAGTGTTGTTGTATCAAAATCTGAGTCAATATTTGATAGTCCGAGGAAAATTGCATTGAAGTTGCAAGTTCGCAATTTACAAAAACAAAAAAATACACCATCAGGCTAAAATTAAAAAACTAGGCCAACAAAATAAATATTTCAAACGGAAAATATTAAACTTAAAAGATTTAGTTAAACATTTATAAAAGAAGTTTGATATTAAAAAAAATATGGTTAATTCCTTAAATGCCACAGTAGAAACGCAAGCCGTGTATAATAGACTCAATATGCAATCGACGAAGGCAGGATTATCTCGTCGTAAATTTAATCCTTCTGGATTGGAAAAGAATTTCGTAAATTTGCTCTAACATTATTACTCTCTAGCTGCTTACAAGTATGTTAGAAAATATATTTTTGCAAAAGAAACGAATTCAAAAACATAGAGGCGCTCTCCTATTGCATTTGGCGTATCCCGATGTGCTATGATATGCTATTATTATAACATCTAATGGACCAAGCGATGTCATCCAAGATGCCACTAATGTGACTGCTGTTTGAATTGATTCTTAGTTATTGGAAATTAAGTATTTTATATCATGGCACTAAAGTGGCGTAAAAAAGTTAATATGATTTTTATGTGTGATAGAAGCCATAATAATTAGATTTATACAATAAAACAATCATGCATATTCGCTACTATTATATCGTAATGCATTTCAAACTAAGTAACCTTCAACAACGTTATCGATACTTTGATATCGAAACGGGGAAATCGGGGGAAAAAAACTATAGGTAATATTACACTGAACCACCTGCATTTCAACAGTGAACCACAATTTCGTTACCAGTAAAAATCCTTATTTGTGAAAAGACACCATAAAAATTTTGGTTATCGTCTTTTATTTTTTTGTACAAAATACAATAAAAATATTACTTCTAATAACAAAAAAATTTTAGTTTTTTTGTGTTTTCTCTATGGTAATAATAATAATAATAATAATAATAAATTGATTCAAACGATGATGGAACAGTCGCCCAGGAACTGGAATTAGAGCATATGAGGAGTACATTGGAAGAGGCGATTGTGGAAAAGGGGCAGTACGCCTCTTGAAAATCGACCGCGACTTCCCCCGCATAGCCCTAAGCAAGCGGAATCGGGCTGTCGTGAGGGCTCTGAACCCAATGCTGGTGACCTATTTGGAAGCCAGCCGGGACCTTTGCGAGACGGACTCAATTCTTTTTGGCGCCGCGCTGGCAGTCTGCCGTATCATAGGCGCCAAGGTTTCCACGGCTGGACGCGCTACTGGCCATAGTAGCGCTATCCCAGCATGGAGAAGAAGAATTGAGGAACGTATCGCAAAGGCTAGAGCTCTCATCGGCAGACTGATATGCTTCAGATCAGGCAACAACAGGCCAAGAATTGTGCGCACCGTCAGGATGGCGTTTGCTGGGACAAATGTCAGTTTGTCCCAGCCGGATATAACGCAAAAATTGACGGAGCGCATAGATGATCTGAAGCCGAGAATCGCTGCTTGGGGAAAGCGGATTCGGCGATATACCGAGAGGTCGACACGGTTCAACCAGAATCGTCTCTTCCAGAGTGATCAGAAGAGGCTCAAAATTGCAATTAACAATTTCATAGGTGCCGGCGGGGATCGAACCCGGTTTGCTCGCGTACTGTGAAATTTAAAGCGCACGCTAACCATCTGAGCTACCACGGCTCTTAATTCTTATGTACTTACATAAATTACATTAGGTATATTAGGATATGAGATTCCTATACGTAAGCACGATTATCGAAAATCTAAGAATTACCTATTCTAATAAAATTTATAGACAATTTTAAGATTTTCGACAATCGTGCTTATCAATGAGATGTTTTCGTTAGTTGGCAGATCAAAGTAGTTAAGTACCTAATGTACTACCTGTATCGAAAGTTCATTATTATGTACCTAACCTGTATTCAATTTTAACTACATGTGCTTCAACAAGTTTATGGGTACATTTTACCAGCTATATTCATCCCGGCTTCAGCAAGTGGACACGAACAAAAGGAAGCAATTTTTCTAAATAAAGATGTAGATATGTAGGTATTACAACCATAAATAGATAGCAGCGGCTAACCTAGTGAGCATGTGTGGGTGCGCGCTGCGCCCCCCCCTCCGTCCGTCCCACTGATCGGGGAAACAATTTGTAGCGAAAGGCAAGATGATTTACAACGAAACGAAACGCGCGAAATTTTATAAACAGACCTTTTTTGGGAGTCTGGATGTCATGAAAAATCTATTGAATATATCTGTTCAAAATAAAATTATTTGCATTTTTGAACAACTAATCTACCCCTGTATGGTAACTGTTTTGCAATTTTCGTTCTTCTTATGGTATTAATTTACGCCCAAAGATGTGTTAAAAATAGTGTTGAAATTCGGAATTTTCGACGCTTATAACTTTTAAACATAATCTTTTTTTTACTATTTTGTTTCCATACAGGACTAGATAATTATGAGACAAATTGAAATAATTTTTTATTTTGTACGTACATCATCAAACAGGGGAGTAATCGCCAGACTACGTTTGTATGGAAGAATGAGCGACTAGAGATCTAGAATAAGAATTAGGATAGTCTTAGTTTGGCTCGCACATGTATCGGACATGTAGCCTTAGGTTAGAATCCATCGCGGATTAATTAAGTAGTATATAAGTAATGTATCGCACATTAATAGTTATAAGTTTATTAATAAAGTCTTTTTAAAAACGTCCTGAGTCAATTTCGAATCTTGACTGGCGCAGCCGGTAGGATTTCGCGTGTAAAGCTTGCTCATATAAGAAGACTCCCAAATCAGTCGTCGTGAAGCAGTTTACGGTGCCGTCTTGCACTTTCGCGAAATCTACGAACCGAAATAAATTTGTCGAATTCGAAAAAGGACATCAAGAAAGAAGACTTCCTAGCCCAGGCGAAAGGATGAGTTCGAGGGTACTGTGAGTAAACCTTTTCACGTCTCTGTTCCCATCTATTTTTGCTTGCTAGAATTATAGTGTTATTTTATTTTTCTTAAATCGAACAAAATAAATTGCACAAGCATAAGCAATTTATTCTATATCATTAAGTTTAATAATTAAATATTGAAAATTAATTTTGAATAAATAAAATATATTAAATTGTGTTATAAAAAATAAAAATTACATAATTAAAGAAATTAAAGGATATATAAAAGAAATAAAAGGATATATAAAAGAAATAAAAGTGATAATTATATAAATTAAAATTAACAATTAAGGTCAGTGGAAGTCCGTCTGGGAGGCAAGACCATCTAGCGGCAATAACTACCATTTTTGAACGACTAGGTTTTTATGCCTCGGTCGGTAAAACAGTATTACGGAGCTAGTTCGAACTAAGAAATAAAGATATTGCTAACATCATTAGGTTGAAAGAAATCGGTCAGCCATTTTATTTCGCGTTGTGAACGTGAAGTGGGTAAGTAACGTCTCTGAGAAAATAATCAAAAAAAAGTGGAAAATCGATGGTGTTTTTGGAGTTTTTCTGATTACGTAAGTCATTTAGTGATCCATATACTTATTTCTGGTGATGAATACATTAATATCGCTTGAATTTCGAAATAATTACCTTCACAAAATACTAACCTTAAAATGTAATAGTTGGGAAGTCCGTCCAGCATGCATAAGGAAAGTTCGTCATATGCCGGCCTTGCCTCGAATGCCGATATTGTCAACCTTTTCAGCTGCACGTATTTAATAAAATATTTTTTTTTGTTTTAAGGGTGCATAGTGCGTCCATTAGCGCCGCCAATCAAGAAAAATCATTAAACGAAATAACTAAATATGTTTAATAAAATTCTGAAACGTACAAAACTAGGTAAAAATGTAAACTATTTTTGTAGGCATGTGTTTTGTCCTGGTTTAAATGTGTTTGTGTAGTTACAATCTGGATTAGGCGTTAATCCAGATTGTTACTACACGAACACATTTAAACTAAGAATTAACGCATACAAAAATAGTTTCGAACTTAACTTAGTGTTTATAAGTTTTAAAATTTTAATAAACATACCTAGTTATTTCGCTGTAATCTTATTTATTGATTGGCGGCGCTACTGGAGGCTCGGTGCGCTCTTATGCAAATCTTGAAACGTTGTTGCTATGAAAGCTTTTCTCGGGTTTTGCAAATTACTGAATTTTGGTTTTACGCATTGCTCTTAGCACTTCGATTCCCTTTCGAAAATGGCAAATATTTAACGAAATAGCTACTCCATTTGGGAAAATCACAAAACCATCGAACCTGTAACTTTTTTGTTTCAGATTTATCACCTACATGTCATGCAGAAAGATGCCTGATTTTCTAGATATCGATCGTTTTTTGCAAAGAACCGATTTTGAAAGTTTAAACCAAAAAAGTGGCCTTGGTTAATAACCCACTTCATACTTGCAAAAAGTTGTTTTAATTGTAGCTACAGATCAGATATTAGCTATCCACGCCATTTTAAGATTCAAGCATCGAATATACAAATTGTACTAGAATTTCATTTTTTCTGGTGTCAAGGTGTTCCAAATTTTGCTATTTACGACCATTATCCCAGCGACGAGTGCCAATTTTGCAATTATGGTCAGTAACTATATAAGGAAAACGGACAAAGCGTCCTATTCTAGGGAGAAGCTACAAGCAGCAGTAAGAGCTGTAAAAAATGGGGAGCTGAGTGGTTACAAGGCCTCTCAGGAGTACAAGATTCCGAGAATGACCATAATGGACCACGTTAACAATAAGAGGACCAAATCAAATTCACTAGGAAGAAACACAGCATTACCATTACAAGTAGAAAAGGAATTAGCTCTCGGTCTTCACCTGATGGAAAAGCATGGCTTTGGATTGACAAAAACAGAAATGCTGGAAATGGTGGCCGATTTTGTGATAAAGAACATCAAAGGATCTTTTGGCATACCTGTCCAATTAATTTCAAAACGGCGGTGCACATTGTTACAAAAAAATACAAAGGTAAAAAAAAAGTAAAAAACGAAAGGAATTTGACAGGTATGCTAAATATGATTGAAATATTTCTGACATGTTCAATTAGAAATAAAGATTTATGTTTTTACTTAGTATTTTATTTAAAAGAAAATTCGCTACAATTTTATAGAAAATGTTTGCAACCACTGTCACCAAAGATATGCCGGATGCCTTAAAATGAAATAAAATTAAATAACTTTGAAATTTAAACCCTATGGACAAAAATATTAAGTACACATTTCAACGCCAGTTTTGCATCAGTGCTAGAAATTGTTTTCATACATATTGCGTCACAAGTTATGGTTATATTGCTACTAGACGGACTTCCTCAACTCCGTCTACACGCTGAGTTTTAAAAAATAACATATAATTCTAAAGATTATTGCAATTAATATAATTTTTAGACCAATATAAGTAAATTAATATATTACCTATAATTTCCGACGACACAAATCACTTTAGAAAGCGTATCTCGTTCAATAAGTTTAGTTAAACTTAAAGTATAGAAAAGTATGCCGGTCTTCCAAACACTGACCTTAAATAAAATAAAAAATAAATTAATAATTAAATATTATATAAATTGTTATATTAGTATTAAATAAAATGGAACAATTACGTGTAATACCTACGGATTTACTTTGTCTTATGCCTAAGTTTGAAGGAGAGGAAGGATTATTAAATCTATTCATTAAGAAAGCTCAGTACATATACAGGTCTTTCGCACACCCTAATAATGCCACTCAAACATATGTATTCCATGCAATAAGCAGCCGATTAAGAGGTAGGGCAGCACATTTGTTAAGTGAGCGTGATGATATTAATTGTTGGAACACTCTTAAGGATATTTTAATTCAACATTTTGGCGATCCGCGTTCGGAAGATTGCATAGCTATCGAATTAGAACAAATGAAAATTAAGTCTGGTGAATCATTTATCGATTTTTGTCATAGGATACAACATATGCGTAGTACCTTATTCGCAAAAGTCAATCTAATACAGGACGAAGGAGTAAAAGCAGCTAAAATGATAGTGTATAATAATATGTCACTAAATGTATTTCTTTATAATTTACCCGAGGATTTAATTCGTATCGTGCGTCTTAGACAGTGTACTAGTTTAGAATCCGCTTTAAGTGTCGTAACCGAGGAAGTGAATTTCATGAATCAATATAATATAATGCGAAAAATAAAATGAAACAGAATATAAAATCCCAGAATTTTAAACACCAACAAAGTGTTAATATTTTACCTAATAATAATTCATCGTATTTTAAATTTGCAAATCCACACGTTGGACCCCGGAATAAATTTCAATTGCTTAATAATCATTTTAAATTTGGTACTCCACATCAGCAACAAGGTCAAAGATTTGTTGCTCAAAATAATTTTAATAATGGCTCAAGATTTAATAATAATACGGGACCACAGAACTTTAAGTTTGATATTCCAAACCAGCAATCTAACTTTAAATTTGGCATACCCCAACAATACCAGGGCTTTAGGCCACACATGAATAATTATGCGCGACCCCCACTAGCCTTTACAAATCAACCCCAAAATAAATTTAAATTTGGTATACCCAATCAGAATTTCCAGAAACAAAATTTAAATGAAAATACCGATGTCTCTATGCGTACCGCACGTCCGATAAGACAAAATATGCTAGATGACTCTAGGGTTCCCCAAAATAACGAGATATTTTTTAATAACGAACCCGAATTACCAGCGGAATATTATAACCATGATATAAATTACTGTGACGCGAATAATTACACGTATAATTTAGAAGTGCTCCAATTTGAAGTAGAACCGTATAGTGAAATAGAAGAAGTAAGTCACAACCCAAATATAATTTCGACTGATACTTAAAATTTTCAGATAGAAGCCCCCCCGATCCACCTCCGCAATAATACAAATAAATTGTGATTCGACTTTTAAACTCCCGCACATCGAGATCCCGGAAATTCAGGCTCGTTTTATGATAGACACCGGAAGCACGAGGTCTTTTATAAGTACATTTAAGGCAGAAAAATATTTCTCCGCTTTCAAATTACATGAACCTTTCGAAGTTATAAGTACGCATGCACGTAGCCAACATAACGAAGCTGTATATATCCCGCTCTTTAAAACATTTAAAAGTTCAGAAAAACATAAATTCCATATATACAACGTCGATAGTAGATACGACGGTTTGATAGGTTCGAATCTTTTAAAACGACTTGACACTTCAATAGATATGAAAAACCAAGTACTGCACACACGTGATACAAAAATACCTATTATATATAACCCCCCATACGAAATTAAGTCGGAACCAAGAACGGAAACGCAAACCAGAGTCCTAACGAATATGCAGAATGAAGATGCGATAGTAGATTATGTCGATTTTGGTCAAGGTGCTAGGATGCCAAGCGCTATAGTAAAATGCGTCAATTCATTTGCAGACACGTTGATACAAAATACGTCCGACGATAGGGTTACTATGACGTCCTCTAAGCCCCTAAAAGTAACCGAAGAAATTAAAAGATTACAAAAGGACACAATATTCTCTAAACCCCTAAAAGTAACTAAAGAAATCGAAAGATTACAAAATAAGGACACAATTTTCTCTAAACCCCTAAAAGTAACTAAAGAAATTAAAAGATTTCAAAATAAACACACAATATTTATAAATGGCACGAATGTTACAAGAAGTAAGGATAAAGCACGTTACGAAAAGGCAAAGGTCATAGGAGAGGAAACACAGTACCAGTTAAGTATCACGGTCAAAACACGAGGGCCCCAATTAAGGATATAAAACGTCCTCCACAGGTTCATTCTGCTCCTGCTGCAAGCCTTCAGGACCCAGGCCCTTCTACTTCAACCGATTGTTCGAAATTCCGGCATACTACCAATAAAGGAGGGACAAGCTCTCATTAGTAACGATAAGCGGTCTTTAGTTAAGATATTAGACTTAAGCTTAATACGTGAGGATCTAGAATTTAATAAGAATCGATACGATAACCTAAATACACATGTGACACGTAATTTTGGTAAAAGAATAACTAACTCTGAAATAAATAACTTAAAAATCCAAACAGATTATATTCAAAATATAACAATTGCAAAATTAAAACAACTATTACCATCGAAGAGGGTTAAACGCGGTATTCTGAATCCTCTCGGGTCTCTTATTAAAATTGTGACAGGTAATTTGGACAATGATGATGCCATAAGGTATGATGCTTTAATAAACGATATAAAAGTAAATCAAAATCAGCTAAATAGAAAAATGACAGTGGTCGCCGAAATGATGAAAACTTTTATTAATGTTACAAATAGTACAAAATTCAATTTCATACAGCTGGATAAAACTCTTTGGGAAATGAGAAAACAAATCAATATAACAAACAACTCTCAAACGGAACTTAAAATATCTAACGTATATAACCTATTTCTACATAACTTTCAAACTAAAACTTTCAAACTAAACTGAACTGAACATCCCTTATTGTACCTAAATACTGATCTGATGAAAGGGTTGAAAGCGGTGTCACTTCTTCACCCGTGTAAAGAAATTGATGACACACTGTTCCTGTGTGAGGAGGATTATTCATCTATGTTAATTAAAGATAATTGTGTAACCAGCCTAATGAGTTTTGCAGCTAACACCACCTCGTGCCGGCCCCTATTAGTAGAGTTTGATGATGTGAAAATAATGAAAATAGAAACCGATCGATGGATGTTCTATTCAAAAACTACAGTACTACTAACCAAACAATGTGGAAATGAATTATCACACTATAATTTAATTGGGACATATATAATTTCAGCCGACCACAACTGCGAAGCTAAAATCAAGGGATTCAGTCTGAAAAGGCATCATGAAAATATAGAGGAGTACCCGTTAACTCCCTTAAGTACCAATAATAAATCTTCCGGAAACACCACAGTTGTTAATGAAGACATCTTCAAATCCAGCAGCAGTAAACCTGGATGACGTGGACCTCACCAATCTACAGCAGCTAAACCACATATTAACCAGTGATAGTGTACGAAAAAAGTGAGCAAAGTGAAAGTGTCATAAATGTGAGGGAGATAAGTATCGGGACATTAATTTTATATGTAATTTTAGTTATAATAATTGTAATTTTATGTAAAAAATATTTGTATCAAAATTATCGGACTCTGAAAACTTCGCCCGGTAATTTCGAATCTGAGGGGGGAAGAGTTATGCATCCCGGTATTCACGGAACTGCACCGGAGACCATAACAATTCAAGCGTAAGCGTGGGCGTAGATTGCTGAATTGCGTCTGGAAGACGGGTGGTCTTTCCTGTGAATACTGATAACTGTTCTTTAGCTTAAAGATCTAGAATAAGAATTAGGATAGTCTTAGTTTGGCTCGCACATGTATCGGACATGTAGCCTTAGGTTAGAATCCATCGCGGATTAATTAAGTAGTATATAAGTAATGTATCGCACATTAATAGTTATAAGTTTATTAATAAAGTCTTTTTAAAAACGTCCTGAGTCAATTTCGAATCTTGACTCGCGCTTGCTACATATTTATTTATCTATGACGCGGCGCTTAAAATGTTATGAATGTTAGGTTAGGTATTCAAGTGTTGTGTTGAAAGTTATTGAAGTGTTTTATTACAAAAAAAGTTAGTGAAGATATTGTAATAACTGTATATGGATTCTAGACTTCGTGCGAGTTCCGAACAATTTAGTTTGCTAATAGAATTTATGGAAAGGTCGGTTTTTTCCTAATTTATTTATTCCAATTTTTATTCCCTGTTTTAACTAGTATTGGATCTACTTGAGAATATGGAATGCATAATGTAAACAAACTCACAATGGTGCACTATTATATGATTGTGATTCTTACATTTTGTTATTCTTATAAAGATAAACTCAATTCCAAACCTTAATACCTACTTGTTTCTTAGACAGGGTATTAGAATGTTAATAGCAAACTTTGTTTACTGGCTCTTATTCTCACTGTACACTAATCTTATGAATATTATTTTTAGCCATGGTGATCCTTCAAGGCCCCAAGTTGGACTTCAAGGAAGGGTAAGGAGTGAACGTCTGTGGCAAGAGTTAGCTGAAATTTTAAACTCAGTGGGTGGAAGTGGAGTTAACAAAACATCTGACAAATGGAAAAGGGTAATAAGATACTAATTATTAAGCAAAGTATGTACTGCTGTTTCATAGGTACCTATGAAGACCATTTATTTCAATGTATTATTTTATATTTTGTGCTACAGGTATGGTCCGACTGGAAAACTAAAACAAAAAAGAAAGCCTCCCTTATAAATCGGGACATTCGTGGCCCTGGTGGTAGGTCTGGTAGGGGAAAACCATTAAGTCAACTTGAGTAAAGGGTGTAACATGTAATTGGGGTCCCAGCAATTACTGGAAGTCAAGCCATACAAGCAGGCTTTCAAGTGAACCCTTTATATATATATATATATATATATATTTCTTGTTTTGCTGATTTTATAAAAACTTGCATATTTCTGGTCAACAACTGGTTATATTTTTGTAGTTAGGAACCATCTCAACCTCAAGTGAGCTATACAGCTGATACAGCAGAGAGGATACCATCACCAGCAGAAATTGAGCTCTTGACATTACCATCAGCTGCAGAAGATACACCCATAACAGTGCCAGCAGATGTAACATCTCCACCATCACATCCTGTCAGTCCTGTGCCAGGACCTTCAAATAGTAGAACTATACAAGGAGGTTTTTATTACAAAATCAATTTTGTACAGGTATTAGGATACCTACTACTAAATTATTGAATATGCATTATTATGAGTTATTGAAACTACCAACATTATTAAATAACTTCACTGCCACCATAAATAGAACCACCACCACCATATTTTGTTAGTTTTCTTTAGTTATATTACAGCTTTCATCTGTGTTCACAGAAAGGTCGCCGGTATCTGCCGGCCCTTCTACACCTCGTCGTCGCCGTCTCAGACAGCGAAGACTGCGACAAACACCATTTGACCGAGCCACCAGCGAGTTTGTGGCAATAGAGAAGAATCGGTTGTGTTTTGAAAGGGAGAGGGATGTGCATCAACACGAGCTTGAAAATTTTTTTTTTGCGCCCGAAGCAATTAAAGGGCTACCCTATACGTAGGGAGGCGGAAAATGCATTACGCATACCACGATAGCCGGTCTATCGTGGTTATGAGGGGCTCACTGTCCTACCGGGGACCCTAAGTGATACCCTCTAAAAGCCGCCTTTGGGGACAGGCAACCGGCTGATTAAGCTCGATTGTGCCTTATCATGAGCGACCCTCTTTTGGGAAAAGAGGGCGCAGGCGGCTAAGTGCCGCTGAGGGATTGCCTACGAAGGCAGATTAATGTTAGATACTACAATAATTTTATTTAATTAGAGTTGGCCTGAGCCGCCAGGAGACAGTTCAGGTCGTTTGAAAGTTTATTAGGCGGGTCCGAGAGAGAGTTTCTCGGCCTGCGGACACGATAGCGAGAGGGGGTGGGGCTGCATAAGAAGCTGCCTCACGAATTAAATGGTTTGGGTGCGACTCTGAGGCTTTGAAGAAGTTCTCAGAGAGTTTTTTAAAAAATTGTTGAATTGTTGGGAGCTCTAAGTCCCGATGAAGGTCGGCATTACGGACGTACCACGGTGCGTTCGCAGCTCGCGACAGAAGAGGTTCTGAACTATTTGGAGTTCATTTAAAATGTTAGGGTTTGCGTGGGCAAAGACGGGGCCCGCGTAGGACATGACTGGTCGTATACAGACCTTGTAAAGGGTACGTTTGTTTCGAAGGGACATTTTACTGTGTCGGCCCAACATACTGTTGAGCCTACTCAGATAAAACCGTGCGTGACGGGTTACTCTTTTGACGTGGGGCTTGAAAGTGAGCCCTGTGTCTAGAGTGACACCTAAATATTTGGCGGGCGTATGCCAGGGTACAGGGGTCCCTAGCATACGTATTGGTGGAGTGTTTTTGAGACGGCGTCGTTTATAATCGAAGTGAACGGCGGAGCTCTTCTCCGGGTTCACATCGATGCGCCATTTTTTGAACCAAGCACCTAGGTCATCAACTGACTTTTGGATCTTGTTCCGTATGAAGGGTAGTGAGACGCCTTTACAGTAGATGGCAGTGTCGTCTGCGAAGAGGGAGAGTTGAACACCTTTCGACGGGATGGGAATGTCGTTGGTGAACAGGATGTACAGCAGAGGAGCAAGTACTGAGCCCTGAGGGACACCAGCCTTGATAGTTCGCTGTGAAGAAAGCGTGCCTTCGTGTCGAAAACGAAAGGTACGATGTTTTAAATAGGAGGCCACGAGACGAACTAGACGATCGGGGAGACCTATTTTATAGAGCTTGTAAATGAGGCCTGTGTGCCAGACTCTATCGAAAGCTTTGGCGGAAAAAGACCGCGATGGTCTTATGACGACGAGGATAGAAACCGCTGAGGATATATTCCACAATGCGGTGAACTTGTTGGGGACATGAGTGTTTGGCTCGGAAACCGAATTGATGGGGAATGATAAGAGGGTCGCCGTCTGTGGGAAACAGATAGCGCCTCATACGCGTTTGGATGACTCTTTCGAAGAGCTTGCCCATTGCCTTGAGGAGGCTAATGGGGCGATGGCTGGAGGGGGAGGTTGAGAGGCTTGCCTGGCTTGGGAATTCCAATCACAGTAGCCTCTTTCCACGTAGTGGGGAAATAACTGGGGTTGAAGCAGGCGTTGAAGATAATAGATAAAAAGGTTAACACCTGCTCAGGAAAGTGTTTTAGGGCTTGGTTGGAGATGCCATCCGCGCCCGGAGCCTTTTTGGGCTTAAGTCCTTTGATGAGAGATGAAATCTCATCATTGGACACAGAGATAGGTTCGGAGGCCGTAGGGGGTGAGTTCCGGCGGCGGACCTCATCCTCCACTGCCTGGACGTGAGAGGGGTCGACGGGTTGAGAACTAGGAGAGCATTGAGCGGCAATGCTATCTGCAAAGCACTCAGCCTTTTCCTCGTCCTCGAAGGCAACCGTGCCGTCGGGACGGGAGAGAGGGGGAGTGTGGGTGATAGCGTCTATGCGGAGGGCTCTAGCCATCTGATAGTACGCTGTGTGAGATGGAGAGATTTTCTAAATGAGGAGTTCTCGTTGAAGACGATTGGCCGCGCGCCTATATTCGGGGGTGGGATATTTTGCTGCTCTCCGGAAAGCAGCTTTTTTGGCTTTTAATAGGTTGCTAATATGTAGGGGAAGCCCACTATTGTTAGCAACCGGGACGACCCTTTCGTTCTCCTTAAGGGAGGATTTAATAAGGGTGGAGAGTGAATCGACCGCGGTGTCGATTTTTTCGGGACTATCTAAGTCCGACGGTAGGGAGATGGTAGAGTCCTGTGAGTCCAAAGCTTTAGCTAGGGACTCCTTGAATCCCTTCCAGTTAGTGAAGGTTTTCGTGTGTGTTGGGGGAGGTGGCTGATGGCCAAGAATGAGGGAGACCGGTCGGTGATCTGATCCTAGATCGTCTAGTGTCTCGATTGCTCTGAGGTTGAGAGAAACTCCTTGGAGTAACGCAAAATCTAACACATCGGGGGCGTGATCGGTGTTATCGGGAAAGTGAGTAACACCGAGAGGACTATGGACGGTAATATCAAGAGACTGCGTGATATCGAGCAGTATCTTGCCACTAGGGGACGTAGTGCGGCATGTCCATTCTGTATGCTTGGAGTTAAAATCTCCAAACATAATGACTGAATTGCCTAAAGATAAAATGGCTTCAAAATCCTTTTTGAGGGGATAGGTTCCTGAAGGGATATAACAGGAGGCTATGAGGATGGACTGATGTCCAGTCATAGCTAGCCTGCATACCGTGGCTTCCATGTTGGTAAGCTGCGGAGTAGAAATGGGCGAGCAATGAAGTGTCTTCTTGTAATAGATGGCCGTTCCGCCGCCTCGGCGGTCGGGTCTGTCGTTACGAAGAAGAGAGAAGTTTTTAATAGAAAGGCCTCTAGTGTCCTTAGCTTTGAGATTAGTTTCCTGTTGGAGGAGGAAATCGACTTCACGATTCCGAAGAAAGAGCTTGAGCTCTGGGAGGTTATTTCGCAAGCCGCGAATATTAAATGATACAAGCGATAAACCCTTAGGTTTGATACGACCGTGAGATCTAGGTAGGTTAATTCGCTCAGTCATTGAAGTTAAGTTAATTAAGTTAACCTAACTTACAACGCTAACAGAAGGTTATTGTACTCCGCAAGAACGAGGAGACGTTCTTGGGGGGACTTGGCCGCGCGCAGTTTGCGTGATACTACTGTTATTTCCCTAACATCGATATTCCTAATAGCGGAATATAGCGTGTTGTAGTCGTCGATTGTGTGCTCTGCTTCATGAGCGTACGAGGTTGTCTGCGGTGGGTCTGCCTTTTTTGGGCCCCCAGGGAAAGACTGGAGGCTGCATTGGCTTGGAGAAGCCCGGAGGGGGCCGAATTATGCCCTGAGGGGGGCCTAGGGGGACCCTGAGAGGGTCGAGAGAAGCTCTGGGTGGGCTGAGAAAGGGCCCTGACGGGGCCGTTGTTGGAGGGCCGGGAATGAGCGGTCATTCATCGGCGGTGGAGCTTGCCTACTGGGGCGAGGTTGAGGTGCGCGTGGGCAACCCTTGTAATTAGCCGGGTGTCCTGTCTGGTTGCACAGGACACAAGCGGGCGGGGATTCGGCGTCTTTGGGCCGGGGGACACTCTTTCGTGTTGTGTGGTTCTGGGCACTTAACGCACCTGGGTGGGGCGGAGCAGTTGGCCGCCGCGTGACCATAAAGTTGGCAGCGGTGGCACTGCGCCGGGAAACCGGGCCTATGTGGGGGCTCTACCTTCACCCTTGACAGGCCACACACTGTGCGTACCTGCCGGAAGATGGCTTTAGCCTCCGGCACGTTTGATAGGATTACTAGGGCAAGGTTGTATCTCTTGCCCGTTCTGTTGTGCATTTTGTGCACGGCTTCGACGGGAAAGCCTTGGGACTTAAGGTCCTCAAGTATTTCCTCGTTCGAGGACTCGAAGGGGACGCCTCGGATGACGGCCCTGACTTTACGCTCTTCCGGGAGAGCGTAGGTGTGGTAGGAGACTCGTTCGGCTGTGAAAAGCCTGGTGAGTTTTCGGAAATCCTCGATCGAGCTGGGGATGATTTTGATAGCCTCCCCGAGGTTGACAGCATTGTCGTACTTAATTCCTGCGTCGTAGCAGGTTTTCGACAGTTTGGTGAATTTGGCCTTGTCTCTTAGGAAGACAGGGGGCGGGACTTGCTTCTTAGCAAGGACTGGAGCACATCGAGAGGAAGGTTTAGATGGAGTTGGGATGTCAAGGGACATGAGCGGGATGGCGGCAGCGGCGGGGGCTGCGGAAGTTGGAGGAGCGGCAGGGGCCGCTGAGATAGGCGGGGTGCGTTTTATCGCGGCGCGCTTTCCATTGCGCTTGGAGTTGACGGCAGTGAATGTGGACTCCCCGGTTCCGTCGGAGTCAGAGGACTCCGATGAACCGGAGCCTGTAGTAGTGGCGCGCCTCTTCCGGGAGGACGGCGCCGAGGACTCGGAGCATGCGTACTCCATTTCTAGGGGGGCAGATTCGAGCGGGGCAAAAGAGTTCCTCGTTTCGAGGTAAGATGCGATTACCGGCGGCGGATGGTGTGCCTGAGGGGCAGGGGAGGGAAGCCTGGGCGGCGATGGTGGCGATGGCGGCGAGGACCGTCTCATTGCCGTTTAAACCGAATTGGTTAATGAGGGCGGCGAGGGACTCAATGAAGCTTGGTGTGGCCATTTTGGGTCAGTAAGCAAGCTGAGCTATGTAAAATAAAGATGAGGACGGGTCCCTGTTCTCGGTAGAACAGGGACTAGATCGCGAGACGTACTACGACACACTATACACGTAAAACAAGAAAAACAAGAACATAAGAAAAAAAGGAGACAGTACAAAAAAAAATGATAAATGATAATGAAAAATGAGAATGAAATGAAAAGTGAAAATGAAAAATGAAAAGCGGAAGTCAGTCAGACCTCCCTGCCCGAAGACAGGAGGGCAAGAACTGTAGCGTAATGTACAGCGCGAGCGGGACAGCGGGGGCGCGAGAGCGGGGAGCACTACCGTACAGGAACGAAAGCGCGGACTACCTGGATGCAACCGCTCGGAAGCAATGCCACAGGCGGAAACGAGCTTGAAACTGAACAACTCAAAATAGAAGCACAACATCTGCAACTTATAAGCTTAGGAGCACATTCGTGTCAAAGAAGTCTGCACCCACGTAGAGCCAGACCTACGTGATTTGAGACCGAATTAGCATTTAAGTAACATAATTTATTCTACCCCTAATGTAATTTTATTTGAGTGCTGTTTAATTAATATTACAATTTTTATATTCCTTGTAATATAGTGAACACGTAGATATATAATTTGTGGTATAAAAAGTGAAAAGTAAATTGCCAAAAGTACTTCAAATTCCGGAAGGCCCATTTTGGCGTTTGGGTCATAAATGTGTTATTTTTCAAATTCTCTTTTATTTTTAGTGTAAAATGTAAGTAAAAATAGTTTTCTTACATATTTCAATTAACTTAACGTTGTATTTATTTCAAATTCACACAAAACTATTTTTGAAATATTGTTCGAAATATCATACGGATAAAATATTATTATTATTTTTTTTAAATTTTTTAATATTTTAATATTTTGGTATGAGTAACGTAATAGAAACACATAAAACATAAAAATATACATATTTCCAAACATTTTCATATAAATTTCTCCAAAAACAAAAGTGTAGAATTCAAATTAGTAGTAATTTTGTCACTAAAATTGAAGTATATACTACTACTATGCTATACAGGGTAATTTATGTATTTTATTACAATTTCTAGCAACCAAAAATAATTTTATTCGATAGTTTATACATTCAACAAGAAATCCTGTAAGTTTTATCCATAAATATTGTCTCAAAGTGAAAATATAGCAAAATTTGCAATATAGCAAAAAATTTTCTAACTTACAAATTTTCCCGCCATTAAGGTCCCGAGCGAACGGGAGTATAACATGTCGCGCGCTGTCAGAGCGTAAAGTTTTTGGTGTCTGTGATCTTCGGCGTATCAAGACCAAAAACTTTGTTTATCTAACCTAAAACGATGAACAAATTCCAATTCCTCTAATCTCCACAATTTGCACCATTTTACGACGATTTACTCTTGTTTGACGTCTTTGCAATGTTGTTTCATTATTAGCTGCCCATAATAATCTCAAAGTATGTATGCATTTTCACTAATTAATTTGAATTAAAGACACAAAAATATCACTGTTTACTCCATAGATAAGAGTGTATATACGGAAAGTTTAAGCGCCCATTACATTATCCAATTTTCAGAGCACTAAGTGAACTAGCGTACTAAATTTGTATTGTGTAAAGGCAGTTAGACAGCTGGTGATCCAATCTAGTGTGATTGCATAGACTCTGCCGCGCTAGCTCCCATCGTACACTACATAGATTACTGTATATATACTAGAGACTACACTAGCTAGCGCACTAAATAGCATGGTGTAAAGCGTTCTATTCTAGCGTGCTAACACTATCTTTGCTAGGTCAGTCAGTCCACAGAACACTAAAGCCGAACGTCCACCGCCGGCTAAACTAAGTTAGTTTAGCTTAGCTCGCATAGTTGAGCCAGTTTTTCATACATGTGCGTCCACCGCAAACTATGCCAGCTAAGCTACGTTAAATGCCCCAGCTAAGTGTAACTAACTTAGTTGTGCGGCCGATCCGTAACTAACTGAGCTAAACTAAGCGCCTCTCACCCCCTTGCCTTACCCCTCTGACACTTGTCGACAGTGTTGCTCCAACGTGTTTGTACAGTGAGTGTTCGTGCGCGGTTGGTAAAACACGTATTTAGCAGCATGGAGGTGTTTATTGAATATGTCAAGCAGTATCCTGCGTTGTATAATCCAGAGGATAAAGACTACCGTGACACAAATAAAAAAGACGGTTTATGGAAGAGGATAGTGGATGAAATGAAAAACCCGAACATATCAGACAGTAAGTGAAAGCCAGGATATTACAGTTTCACATACTGAGACACAGGAAAATACTGATCATGTTTCTAACACTGAATCTATACCATCTACATCTCACAGCTCATCGTCTGAAAGGCAAAGAAAGAGAAAGAACGATGAATCTTTAGCTGTTTTACTGAAAGACATTGATGTAGATTATGAAAAGCGTCGCCGTGAGATAAAAGAGAAAGAGGCAGCTGAAAGGGAATCAAGAAGACATCCTTTAAAACTGTTTTTGAGAGTATGACCAAAACAGCCATAAAGTTTCCAGAGTGGTTGCAAAGGGACATTAAAAGGAAAATCTTTACCATAATGTCTGAAGCGGAAGATAAGTATGACAATTACTTATACGGAAGTCAGTTCTCATATGGATATTCAACATCTTCTGCCCAATCTACTCCACGCTACCAAGACACTCCAGTCTCCCAAGATAATCCATACGTCCAAGATACTCAAAACAACGAAGGTACTCCGTTCACCCATACTACTTTCGATTGATGTCTTTATACAACCTAATTTTCAATAAATATACCAAAGTAACTGAATCTGTTTAATTTTAAGGTTGATACACTTACCTCAAACAAATAGCCAATCTTTCTTCTGGCGATATAGCTTTTCGAAAATTAGTATCAATCTTAGCAATATCCTTGGCAATCATTGTAAGTAACTCATCAAACTGTTGTCTAGATACACGATAGTACATCTTAAAATTTTCGTCGTCTAGTTCATTAAACAAAGTGTTAAATTCGCTACTTGTTTTCCAGGACTGAATGTGTTGACTTATCCAGTATCTATGTTTCCGTTTTTTCTTCATAAAATAAGCAATGATCAATCTTCTTCTCCTATGACGATAGTCCTCCTCTAAAGTCTCGTCTTCCATATCACGTCCGGTTAACTCGACGTTCTAGCACAAACTGGCCATCACTAACGTAGTTTTAGCTTTTTTATTGGTGGACGGACAACGTAGTTCTAGTTTAGCTTAGCTTAGTTCACTGAGTTTAGTTTTCATTTAGTTTAGCCGGCGGTGGACGTTCGGCTTAATACTCTTAGGCGGGTGAGTCACCCCCCCGAACGGGTTCCCGCCTTGTCGTGGCGGGGGGGGGGGCTTAGAAGCCGTGGCTTGGTCACCCACGGCGAAACAAAGAGGAACCCATATGGCTGGTCCGAGGTGGAGGGCCGGCCCGAGGTGGCCACTCCGAGTGGGCTTGGGAAGCCCACTTCGGATGTGTGTTGGTGGACTGCGGTGAGAGGTGTGTCCTCCCCACCTACCGCTGCAGCCGAGGTGGAGTCGCGGAGGAAGAGGAGTGTTGGTATGGCGATGCGCCACTCGCCCTATCCTCCGCGACTCAAACGGGGCCGCACCGTTGATGCGGTGGTGATGGGGCTGTGGGGGGAGAGGATTGTCGGTATTGCGAGGCGCTGCTCTCCCTATCCTCCGCAGCCGAATCTTGGTTGGCGGCGGAGCCATAGACCAGATCCGCCGCTGGGGTCGGGAAGGCTAGTACTTCTAAGTGCTCGTTTTTCCTGGCCCCATGGCCTTCGCGCATCGGACGCGGGGGCGTCTGTTGCGCAGATGTAATTGGAGGGCCGTGGAGGAAGGCGTGCCATGTGTTCTGGTGCGCCTTACTTGGGAAGGAGAACGGGGAGGAATATTCCTCTCCCGATGAGGTGCTGCCATGGGGCGGCAGTCGCTGGTGGGGCCGCGGAAGTGTGCGAAAGCGTTCCCGTAGCCCTGCCAATATGCGACGAAGGTGGAACACCATGGGGTTTTAGTCGGTGCGAGTCCGACATAACCCGTCCTTGCCCCCGCGAGGCGGGTATGCGTAGGCATTTCCCCATGTAAGAAAAAAAAAAGGCGGGTGAGTCAGTCAGTCGGCGTGCGCTCGAACAGGACGTATTTTTGGAATATGATCAAAGTGACGTGACGCAACCATCGACGAAGGAAAAGGAAGTGCTCTTAAATGGGAAATAATGAATTATACAAAACATGCCATTTCTTTGGGATACAAAATAAGGATTATAAAAACAAAGATATAAGAAATGATGGAAACAAAGTGCTTTTCGATCTTTACAAAGGATTCACATTGTTCATATTTGACTACAAACTAATAAGAGTACCAACGTAATATTTGACAGTTTTTGTCTCAGCAATAATTATTCTGTAACCCAACATTTAATGCTATTTTTTTAAATTAATTATCATTAAAATTGACACCATTGCTAAAGCAACGCCAACTTTCTGGTGGTTTTATAGTATCATATTCGTTTAGCGCTTTTTGAAAGATGCGGTTTTGACGACGATCACTACAGAAATGAAAGGAAATTAAACTAACTAGCTTCGCTAGTTAGTCTAGTGTAATGAGTGAGCTCTTTTTATAGTTCGCTGCAGAACTAAATCTAGCGCTCTGCAAATTGGATAATGTAATGGGCGCTTTACTCGTTCCAACTCGTTCCTAGCGTTAGCGTCTGGCAGGGTTGGCAGATCAGATTTTCAAAAATACTGTGTTGTCCAAATTAAATTACGGTGTTTGAGAGGAAAATACAGTGTTTTATGAAAAAAAAATACAGTGTATTTTACAGTGTAATTAAATGACATATTAAAAGGAAATAAATTTTTAATGAACCAAAATATGCATTTATTTTAAATATACTATACTCAAACTAACTAAATATCTTAGTATTTGAATACACAAAGTAGTCACTGTCACTGTCGATTGCCTCCCATTTTTTGTAAATTTCAGAGTTAAAAGATTTTAGCATCTTGTCAGTTGGCAGAAAAACACAGTTGCCGCCATGACGAAAATGGCCTGTTTTGCCAACATGTTGCATATTGCCCTTAATTGGTTCTGTAATTAATCTATTTCTGTTCTTAGGTTTTGTGTCATTTAATTGGCTGAACACTCTTTCACACTCGGCGTTAGAATTTGGAAGAGCTAAAATGTTCAGCATAAACTGGGCAACCAAACTGAACTCTTCAAACAGAAAATATTAAGCGTAATATTTTAGAACTGAATACTAAGACGATATACCGGACGGATTTAAATGACACATCAATAACGTTAAAACAACACTATGGCATATCCAACTTCATTTACCTGAATAATACCGTCTATGGTGCGGCCGATACAAGGAATTCCCAATGGAATACCATGTACTATTTTGTGTTGTTCGGCGGACGTATTCGTCACATTCATATTTTACGATATTTTTCGTAAGTAGCGTTCATTATAAAACGAAATTTTGTTTTTGGTTGAAAAAAAAAATACTGTGTCTCCATACACTGTATTTATAAAAATACTGTGTCCAGTAGACGGCAAAATACGGTAGATCTACTGTAATTACAGTGTATCTGGCAACGTTGGCGTCTGGGTCCGATCCAGTGTTGAGAAATAGTTGGTGCGAAATTATGGTGTTGCCAAGCTAGAAAATATTGTATTTTGGGTAGAATTATTGTTTTTTTTTTGCTAAAGATTTTTTTATTTATTTAAGCTGTCTAAATCCAAATTTAATAGGTTTTTGCTATTTCTTTATATTTGTATAAACTAAAAATATGTTATTAAATGTTTTGTTTTTAATTAAAATAATAAAACTTAGGGCACGGAATTATACAATATGAACTAAACAAGAATGGAAAATTTGAAGTCGTCTTCTTGTTCGAGTTCGAAATCTCGTAGATATAGACGGATTTGACTGCTGAGAAGTTGTTGCATACAGGACATTGGAGAAAATTTGATTTGCCAATTGTTTCGTGGGATCAAATGATATACATTCCTATACAAGACGTTTTGCGCTTTTAGAAGCGATAACTACATTATTTGGTATAAGTATATGATGCGTTCGTTCATACATTTTAAAGTTGCGTGTGTCTAGTATTGAACTTATATTGTGTAAAAATAGGAAAATATTGTATAAAAGCGTATAATAATGAGAAAGCTATGTTTTATGGTACAATTTAGTTTCGTGTAACAAATTATTGTAAGAATGCAATAATTATTGTATATTTCCCAACACTGGTCCGATCCACTTAGTAGTCTGTGGACCGATTTCCCGGTTTCCCGCTAACGCTAATAGCGTGTTGTGCGTAGACAGAGAAACCTATAGACTAATGATCGGCGTGGCCTCGAGTGAGAAAGGACGATAACGAATTTTTAGGTTATACAATAATCTTTATGACTTTTATACACATTTAGATAAAAAATTTAATTGTTCTAAGAACTGAACTGAACAAGATTCAAACTACTTTTACGGATTTTATCGCGTTTATTTTTACTTTTTATTTTTAATTCCCGACGTTTCGGGCGCTTTCCAGCACCCATGGTCACGGGGGACTGAGATGACTGACGTCCCGATGTCATTGTTAAACCCGGAGTACCTTCAGCTTTTTTAATTATTGTTTATGGTCCGATCTATGCAAAATGAACTGACTATGTGAACTGAATATGTATGTATATATGTATGAAAAAGGTATTAATTTCGCAATAACACCGCGAAAAATACCGTATGAGGACATTATCTGTAGTGTTGAGGACTGTCTGTATAAAAATAATATTGGTAATGAAGATTTAGAGGCCATACGTCAAGACATCTCGTCTATGTTACGTCGAACTTCAGCGCCGAAATTAAATCTCCCCAAAAATGAATTTAACGCGTTGAAAAACTTACGCAACAGACCAGAGCTTACGATTCTCCGCGCAGATAAAGGTAATTCTACGGTTATAATGGATACGTCAGATTACAATTTTAAAATACAACAACTTTTGTCGGATGAAACTACTTATCGAAAGGTCAAAACAGACCCTACAACTAATACGCTTAAAACAACTAGCGATCTAATTAAGAAATACTCCGAAAAATTGAATCTGGACGTTAATTCGATAATACCTTCCTGTGCCAAACCACCGAAGTTGTATGGGTTACCAAAGATACACAAACCGAATGCTCCATTACGTCCAATAGTGAGTCAGATTGATTCGCCAACTTACAGATTGGCTCAATACTTAGCTAAAATATTATCACCACTCAGAGGACACACAAGAGCACACACTAAGGATTCACACCATTTTGTCAGTGAGATAAAAGACCTACATCTTACTGACAATGAAACCATGGTCAGTTTTGATGTTCAGTCTCTATTTACATGCCTACCTGTTGAAGACTGCATCTCAATTATAACTAGGAAACTAGAGGAAAATAACATGCCAGCAGAATATACAGTATTACTAAGACATTGCCTTACATCTGGCTATCTATTGTGGAAGGAAGAGTTTTACAAGCAAGTAGATGGTGTGGCGATGGGCTCACCTGTATCTCCCATTGTCACCGATATATTCATGGAAGACTTTGAGGAGAAAGCCCTCCTTACTGCACCTGTTACACCAAGGATCTACAAGCGGTACGTAGACGATACTTTCACAATTTTACCATCAGACAAAGTAACTGCATTTTTTAGAACATCTTAATTCCATAAACGCTAAAATTCAATTTACTATGGAGTTAGAGGCAAATAATTCCTTACCTTTCCTAGATGTGTTAGTCATCCGAAATCTTAATAACACCATTGGTCACACTGTGTATAGGAAAAAGACCCATACAAACCGATATTTAAACGGTGAATCTCACCACCATCCTTCACAGTTAGCTACCGTGGGCAAATCTTTGTTACAGAGAGCACGAGGGATCTGTGACAGCAAACACCTGGCCGTCGAGCTTCAGCACGTCAAGCAAGTTCTGCACGACAACAAGCTTCGGGTCCCGCGCCTACGTCACAGTGACCGAGTGAAGCCGGCCACAGTCGAGCGTGTGCCTGCTGTACTACCATATGTCAGAGGTGTCACAGACAAGATTGGCTATATCTTGAAGCGAGCTTCTATTAGAACATTCTACAAGCCGCCGAAGAAGATTAGTCAGTTCCTACCATCCGTCAAGTGTCATATTCCTCTACAAGATGCAGGAGTGTACAAGCTTGATTGTGAATGTGGTCTCTCTTATATAGGACAAACCAAAAGATCAATTAGGACCCGCGTAAAAGAACATATAGCTGATGTGAAGCATCAACGTTCCGGGAAGTCTGCAGTTTGTGATCATATCCTAGACGGCCCCAACCATTACATCAGATTTGATAGACCACAAATCCTCGCGAAAGAACACCGATTCCTACCAAGGATGATACGTGAGGCTATTGAAATTAAAAAACATCCTAATTTCAATAGAGAAGGAGGCTGGGTACTACCACCTGCTTGGGATCCTGTAATCAATAAAATTAAAACTAAACCCAAGCATACCACTGCAAGACCTCAGGACATAGTCAGTTCATTTTGCATAGATCGGACCATAAACAATAATTAAAAAAGCTGAAGGTACTCCGGGTTTAACAATGACATCGGGACGTCAGTCATCTCAGTCCCCCGTGACCATGGGTGCTGGAAAGCGCCCGAAACGCCGGGAATTAAAAATAAAAAGTAAAAATAAACGCGATAAAATCCGTAAAAGTAGTTTTAATCATGTGCAATGTTCGCGTAAATATAAGAAATCATTATGTTAACCAGTACGGACTGGAAATAGCAAATAAAATACGCCGATTAGAAGATCTGAAGACCAAGCGCGCAAGGTACATAACAGCTTTAAATTTCTTGAAGAGATGCAGAGATCATAATCTCATTCCTACGTGTGTCAAGATATCCACTAAAAAAGACATTCGAGGAAGCGCCAAGATCTTAAATCAGGCTAGTAAAAAAGTTGTTAATAACGGTGATTCAGCAAAAACGTACCGATCTATATTTCATAAACAAAACCATAGACAATTCGTCCAATGAATTAAAGACAGTTTTATCGACATTTGATTATAAAAATTGCATGGAAACTTTAGATAAACGCGAAACAACTAAATACAATGAATGCAAAAATAAACACATTGATAAATACCATAAATTAACAACTAAATCAAATGTCCAACATACGAAATCGTTGACCACAGACACGAATCATAAACAACGCGCTGTCTACAACTTATCAAAACAAACACTTGACGACGCCACAATAAAAGTTTTAGAAAAAGGTATTAATTTCGCAATAACACCGCGAAAAATACCGTATGAGGACATTATCTGTAGTGTTGAGGACTGTCTGTATAAAAATAATATTAGTAATGAAGATTTAGAGGCCATACGTCAAGACATCTCGTCTATGTTACGTCGAACTTCAGCGCCGAAATTAAATCTCCCCAAAAATGAATTTAACGCGTTGAAAAACTTACGCAACAGACCAGAGCTTACGATTCTCCGCGCAGATAAAGGTAATTCTACGGTTATAATGGATACGTCAGATTACAATTTTAAAATACAACAACTTTTGTCGGATGAAACTACTTATCGAAAGGTCAAAACAGACCCTACAACTAATACGCTTAAAACAACTAGCGATCTAATTAAGAAATACTCCGAAAAATTGAATCTGGACGTTAATTCGATAATACCTTCCTGTGCCAAACCACCGAAGTTTATGGGTTACCAAAGATACACAAACCGAATGCTCCATTACGACCAGTAGTGAGTAAGATTGATTCGCCAACTTACAGATTGGCTCAATACTTACCTAAAATATTATCACCACTCAGAGGACACACAAGAGCACACACTAAGGATTCATACCATTTTGTCAGTGAGATAAAAGACCTACATCTTACTGACAATGAAACCATGGTCAGTTTTGATGTTCAGTCTCTATTTACATGCCTACCTGTTGAAGACTGCATCTCAATTATAACTAGGAAACTAGAGGAAAATAACATGCCAGCAGAATATACAGTATTACTAAGACATTGCCTTACATCTGGCTATCTATTGTGGAAGGAAGAGTTTTACAAGCAAGTAGATGGTGTGGCGATGGGCTCACCTGTATCTCCCATTGTCGCCGATATATTCATGGAAGACTTTGAGGAGAAAGCCCTCCTTACTGCACCTGTTACACCAAGGATCTACAAGCGGTACGTAGACG